GGGTACAATGTGTGAAGCCCATATCTGATGTCCCCAGCCGTAATATTACTGGAATATTGCTAAAAGCCGCGTAAAACCACCCTCACTCACTCATATTGCCAAAGCATGTGAAGAAAAATTTGACAGTCTTTCTGTTGCAGCAATGATGGTCTTGTCCGGCGAAATGAGCAAAAGGTGTGTGGCATCCATTCATATCATCGACCTCACTATCTATGTTGGAGAATTTACAGGACTGTTGATTATATCTCCTTTTCTAAGTGACAGTGACTACCATCGTGAAGACAGCTACAGCACTGCGTCCAGGTCTCTCAATGACAATGAGACATCTTCTTCACAGAATAGCAAAGACGAAGTGTGCCACAATTTCAGATCCAATGTAATGTTTGGACTCCTGTTCATCGCAAGTTTAGGAATGATCGTTTATGTAGGTTATGTATTCTCACAACAGATGCTTCAAGACGGACTTCACGTTAATGACGACCCACAAGAATACAAACAAATTCACCCCTTTAACAAGTTCGATGTAATAATGTTAATCACGATGATGGTATACACTACGGTCTGTGCACCAATGATCTTTGTATACGGTCAGTTTCTGCCAACTTTTGGAATTTATTGCAGATTAAATGCCAGCACGAGAGAGGTTACAAATATATCATTATCGTTTTACGCCTGCACCATAGTTGGCCAGTTGCTAGGTGTGTTTAGCAGCCTAGTTATTACACAAACTGTTCTCATCAATGTCTGCGCTGCTTGGAGCATAGTGATATCTATCATGCTCATTTTTGTAACAGAAATAAATACAACATGGTTATGGGTAGGAACAAGTGCTTTAGCACTAGTGTGTGCCCCTGTGTTCTCGGCAGTTGCAACGTGGGTTCTTAGTGCCAACGAGCACAGGCATATTGTGTATGGCATATCATCTATAGCTGATATGGTAGGATTTTCCGCCATGTCACTTCTGACTGGACAACTGATGGCTCTGGTATATGTACAAATGTTGAACTACATTATGGTTGATGTGTCACTACTGCAACTTGTACTGATCGTGTTATTATATATGGCTGCCAAATTAGGTAAACAGGTTAAATCAGAGAGTTTTCTTATATTGGAGTAGATACGTGATAACTGTTTAAAACTATGGACACTGTCCACATACATAAAGAATAATGCTTGTTACTGTTTAAAACTATGGATACTGTCCACATACATAAAGAATAATGCTTGTTACTGTTTAAAACTATGGACACTGTCCACATACATAAAGAATAATGCTTGTTACTGTTTAAAACTATGGACACTGTCCACATACATAAAGAATAATGCTTGTTACTGTTTAAAACTATGGACACTGTCCACATACATAAAGAATAATGCTTGTTACTGTTTAAAACTATGGACACTGTCCACATACATAAAGAATAACGCTTGTTACTGTTTAAAACTATGGACACTGTCCACCTACATAAAGAATAATGCTTGTAACTGTTTAAAACTATGGACACTGTCCACATACATAAAGAATAACGCTTGTAACTGTTTAAAACTATGGACACTGTCCACATACATAAAGAATAACGCTTGTTACTGTTTAAAACTATGGACACTGTCCACATACATAAAGAATAATGCTTGTAACTGTTTAAAACTATGGACACTGTCCACATACATAAAGAATAACGCTTGTAACTGTTTAAAACTATGGACACTGTCCACATACATAAAGAATAACGCTTGTAACTGTTTAAAACTATGGACACTGTCCACATACATAAAGAATAACGCTTGTTACTGTTTAAAACTATGGACACTGTCCACATACATAAAGAATAATGCTTGTAACTGTTTAAAACTATGGACACTGTCCACATACATAAAGAATAACGCTTGTAACTGTTTAAAACTATGGACACTGTCCACATACATAAAGAATAATGCTTGTAACTGTTTAAAACTATGGACACTGTCCACATACATAAAGAATAATGCTTGTAACTGTTTAAAACTATGGACACTGTCCACATACATAAAGAATAACGCTTGTTACTGTTTAAAACTATGGTTGTTACCTTCTGATAAACATACTTCTAAATATTGACAAGGTGTATTTTGTCCGTTTCTTTTAACTTTTCATTTCAAAATGCATTGTATACTGTCACAGCAGTGCTTTCAGGTCTGTTTTTCAAGCATATGAATCAGAAAAGAAATCTCGTCATGTTCCCGACCTATACTGCTTGACACTTATACGCATTGTCGTTTTTAGTGTTCAGAAGTTTTGTATGCCAATTTGTGGTTTTTACTACAGTGGACGACCGGACTTTTTGTGGGTTCGTTGTGGTGTAATAAACGAAGATGGCGGTTTGACCACGTTTTCTACCTTGCCTTTGCAGGATTGCCTTTGCCAGTTCAGTGCAATTGCCTTTGATTAGGTGTCATGGTCCCGCGAGCCGGATGCCAAACCTTATAACCTAATAACCCCAAGTACATATTCAGACTCATATTCAGTACATCCCTCATGTACCTTGTATGTATGTTTAGTAATGAACGCGAGAAGGACTTCAGTGAATGTACACCCATATTTGAATGAGAGACACAAGTATAAGATATTGTTAGGTCAGCTGGGGCGTACGGCGAAACGGTTAGCCGAGGCTGACATATTCGAGTCAAAGCCATATACCACAGTCCAAAAGGCTTTGCAGGACAAGTATGGACAACTTCGTCAGATTGTGCAAAGTGAGCTTGGTGCAAGTCTCCCTTTGCAGTTTGTTCTTACTGGGGATAATGAAGGATTCGATAACTGTCAGCTCTGGCACTGGTTGGTGTGATGAAGTTACTTGAAAGGGGAAAAGGAGCTGAACTGAACTGTGGCTCTCGTGTGGACAGACTGGTAGGGATGTTCTAAGGTCTTAGTGTTGGGTTTTATTGGACAGTTAACTCCGGTTATAACGAACTCAAAGGGACCACAAATTTTAATTTGTTATAACCGTAGTTCGTTATAAGCATGTGTACAACACATATGCAGAAAGTGGACGGGACCAAGAAACAGTTCGTTATATCCGTCAGTTCGTTATATGTGTATTCGTTACAAACGTACTTTACTGTCAATATAAAAGTTACGTATGATAATCACGTAGTGTGTCATTCGTTTATGTGGAAACCTCCAATCTCCATGTATGACCTTCATTCTTAGTACTAAATATGTCCAAATACTCCATGCTGTACCTAGATCTTCAGCAACCCATGCTTGCCGTAAAAGGCGACTATGCTTGTCGTAAAAGGCGACTAACGCTGACTTGGTTGAAGCATGTCATCGATCCCAATTGCGCGGATCGATGCTCATGATATCAATCGCTGGATTGTCTGGTCCAGACTCGATAATTTACAAACCGCCGTCATATAGCTGGAATGGTGCTGAGTGCGGCGTAAAACAACAAACAAACCAACCAACAACCAAATCCATGCTGTACCCAAAGAAAATATGATGTCCCATTGTGAAATTCAGGGTAACGTTGAAACTATTGATTGACATAAAAATATGGCATATCTTAGTCATTGAAAGTAAATGTGACCTACAATAACTGTGATTATCATGCCCGGTGCACTGCATTTTAGCTCGAGGGAGACAAGGCTGCATTCGCCCAGTCATAACCCACAATTTCCCCTCCATTCGAAATATATCATAATTCTTTGTATGTATGTGTTCATTTACCTTAGGGGCGGTCGGGTAGCGCTAGTGGTTAAAGCGTTCGCTCGTCACGCCGAAGACCCAGGTTCGATTCCCGACATAGGTACAATGTGTGAAGCCCATTTCTGCTGTCCCCCGCCGTGATATTGCTGGAATATTGCTAAAAGTGGCGTAAAACCTAGAATAACATTTAGTCTCTGAAATCTTATATTACACAATATCCTTCTTGACTCTAAAAATAAAATAAATTCCCTATGCTGATAGAACTAGCTTGAGCTGGCTAGACTTGCTTTTGTATGCATTTCTAGATTATTATTTTTTCATAAAATAAATATATTCCACGGTCATGGTGCCGGACTACGTAAAACCATACTCAGTCAGTCATTTACCTTATGTCTTTGCCTGCTTCTCCGACGCCCCGGTCCGGGATAGAAAAGGTCTTCAGCAACCCATGCTTGCCTTATGATGAGACTAACCGGATCGGGTGTCAGGCGCCGTGACATGGTTGATGCAATATTCAGCAATATTCCAGCTATATTACGGCGGTCTGAACCAGACAATCCAGTGATTGACATCATGAACACCGATCTACGCAATTTGGATACGATGACATGCATCAGCCAAGTCAGCGAGCCTGACCATGCGATCCCGTTAGTCGCGTCTTTCGACAAGCAGAGTCGCCTTTTAAGGCAAGTATGGGTTGCTGGTGACCTATTCTACCCCGGATCTTCACGTGTGGACTAAATGTGAATAATATGTGTAAACTACTATGTTTCTAGAATACGTGATTCATGTGGAACATGTTAGATATTTGATTTATTCACTCTGTTCCTGTGGTAATTTGCATCTTAGTCAACGACAGAGGAGGTCCTAGAACCTATCTTCTTATTACCTATTTTGAAGCTATTCTTTGACATTGAGTGAGTGAGTGAGTATGGTTTTATGCCTCTTTCAGCAATATTTCAGCACTATCACGACATGGGCTTCTCACATTGAACCGGGGCGGTCGGGTAGCCTAGTGTTTAAAGCGTTCGCTCGTCACGCCGAAGACCCGGGTTCGATTCCCGACATGGGTACAATGTGTGAAGCCCATTTCTGGTGTTCCCCGCTGTGATATTGCTGGAATATTGCTAAAAGCGGCGTAAAACCATACTCACACACTCACTCACTCACACATTGAACCCATGTGGGTAATCGAACCAGGGTCTTCGGCGAGAAAAGCAAACGGTTTAACCACCAGGCTACCCGACCGCCCCCCTTTGAAACTGATAACATTCTATGGCAATAACACTATTTACAACATGATCTGGACATATACAGTAATGAGCAGTTTATTGCAAGGATACTTTGAGCCTTTGTCGACTTGTCTCAATTGCACCAGTTGCAAATTGGGTTAGCACGATGACGGAAGAGATACATGACGTCATTTCCTGTTTGCCCAAACGTGAAGTATCCATTCCCATCTGTGTTCCAAGCAACAGCCTCACCTCGCCCCTCGGTGTGGTATGCGACCTGTTCACCTGGGTGTTGAAGTGCCTTCTCCACGTCCCCGTCCTCCATGTGCCAGTGATACACGTGATTCACCGTCTTGATCAATAAGTCTTGGCCACTTGGTGAAATGTCTGCGGCAACGGGACCCAGAGTGCTTGTTTGAAGAGGCAAGGTCAGCAAATGAGATAGGGTCACTGGGTGACCCTGACCCCATCCGTTTCTTGGCAATTTTGCGAGTTTGCTACCTGATCCTGTAGCTTCAGACAAAATGTAGACATCACCATTCCTGTCCACCATCAGTGCCTCTGACGACCCTTCACTCCAACTGGAATCAATACAAGTAAGCATAAACAATGAGTAAGTCAATAAATGTTGGTCCATATATTCTGTGGTGTAATGTTTTGTAGGTTTGCCCTTTTAGACCGGGGCTGGCCGCCTCCGTGGTCTAACGGTACAACCACCTCCCGGAGAGCGGAATGTCCGGGTTCGATCCCCGCCGCTTCATACCAAAAGACGTTTAAAGATGGTACTTGTTGTTACCCTGTCTGGCGCTCGGCATTAAGGGGCTAAAACAAGGACTGGTCGGCTTGGAGTCAGAATACTGTGTCTGAGTGGGATATTCATGTTAAACTGCGGCATGGTATCTCAGTGAACACTGTAAATCGGCATCAGTCCGAACTAGTACAAGCAGCCACAAACAAACGTGCGTTAACATCGCTATATCAGTGCAATAATCTTGGACGCGACATTAAACCCCATTTCAGGTCACGTCACACGTACACAGGGGCTACACCCAAGCTGTAGTGGATAGAGCGTCTGCCCAGAGAGAATAGTCACTGGGGTGTAAGTCTGTACTGTAGGGTGAGTGATTTAACTGTACAGCCCAGACTTAGCCCCCAGTGACTGACTATTTCCTGTTCCGGCAAATGTAATCTGCCCTACGTGGAAGACGCCTCCAGGATGACGAGGACATAACGGCTGCCACAGAGGCGTGGTTAGAGGGCCAATCTGCGGATTTCTATAAAAGTGGAATTAAAAGCTTGAAGGACAAAAGGAATAAGTGCATCGAGGTGAATGGAGATTATATTATATTATATTGCAAAAGATATTCTTCGACTTGGTCTTGTATTGAAGTTGCAAAACTTATTGAACGCCCCTCGAACATGTATATCTTAGGTTTCATAAATTTGTAGGGTCGGTCGGGTAGCCTAGTGGTTAAAGCGTTCGATCGTCACGCCAAAGACCCGGGTTCGATTCCCGACATGGGTACAATGGGTCTATTTCTGGTGTCCCCCGCCGTGATATTGCTGGAATTGCGGCGTAAAACCACTCACTTACTCATAAATTTGTATTGTATTAAAAAGCTCTTAAAACTCACGTGAAATGGAAAGTTTTTTCAACATTAATGTTCTGTGTCTTTACATCTTTCGGTTCCTTGATCTTGTACACAGTATTCTTTGTAGGGTTACCACCAGACCCGGTGTCAGCGATGTAAATGCATGTCTCATACCCGGGGCACGGGCCTACCGCAATGTCCTCCCAATCGGCCGCTGAAGCATGCATTACATGCAGCGTCGCAACGACCGACGCTGTCCATTCGTCCACAACGTAGATGCTGGCTGAGTGGCTGTTGTCGTTGATAGCGTACAGGTACCCTGGATGTTTCCGACTGGCCGCCAACCCTGATGTCATGTGCAGACCCTTTGAGGAATCGATGTGACCAATCTCTACGAACTCGTTGTAATAACCAGTATCAGGAAACGGTGTAACCGAATGGTGAGGCGTGCTTGTAGCCTGAATTGTTGAGGTGTGATGAGTTAGCTTGGGTGTGGTGTGACTTGGTCGGGTCGATGGAATGGGTACTTTGCGTCCATAAAAATGAAGTGCCTGCTGGGAATCTTGACCAATTGTATAATACCCATTACCATCCCATTTCCAGGCGACAGACTCTCCACGACTTTCAGAAACATAGGGCACACCGATGCCAGGATGTTGAAGGGCATTAACCACTGATTTGCCAGGCATGTGCCAGTAGTAGATATGATTAAGTGTCTTTATCAGCAAGTCTGTGCCACTTGGGGAGATGTCTGCGGCAAGAGGACCTGAATTGGCAGATTTGAAGGGCAGGGTCAAGGTTGAATGGAGGGTATTGACTTTCCCATTATCCCAGTTCTGTGACGGGAGTTTGGCCATGTGAGCCGGTTGTCCACTGTGCTCTGAGAACATGTACACCTCTCCTGCTGAATCTACCACCATTGCCTCAGACGAACCCTCTGTCCACCTGCAACACAAACATCTGTCAGACTAACCTCATCTTTTCCAGGAGCGGTCGGGTAGCCTAGTGGTTAAAGCGTTCGCTCGTCACGCAGAAGACCCGGGTTCGATTCCCGACATGGGTACAATGTGTGAAGCCCATTTCTGGTGTTCACCGCCGTGATATTGCTGGAATATTGCTAAAAGCGGCGTAAAACCATACTCACTCACCCGTCTTTTCCTCCAACAGACTACATGACGGCCGGGCGAAAGAAATTTCTTACCCACGTTTGATGGTGCCAAAAATGAAAGAAACAAGAAATGGCTATTCGATTTGAAGAGCAGAGTGTACCAGACATTCTCATGATCAGTTTGAGTTTGAGCTCAAAGCCTTGTAATATTTTGATAATGTTTGTAATTGTTTGGTCAAATCCAATTTTCAAGTGTATGCTTCTTTTTTCCGGTAGTTTATCAACAACCGAGTTCTGAAACAAAATGAAATCATTCATTTTCAAATAATAATATTTGTTTGCCTAACTCTATCTAACCAGCACCATGAGGGATGCGGGTCCTGTCCGAAATGCGTTATCGGGTTGACCCTTGGCAGTTTGAGTGAGTGAGTGAGTTGGGTTTAACGCCGCTTTTAACAGATTCAAGTTATATAGCTTCATGTGGTAGGAAAGCCCGAAGTGATGCAGGTCTCAGACGTTTACCACTTCAGTGAAACCCATGAGCACGGGTATGGTGCTGACAAACCTAGAAACATAATCGGGGCGAACCGGGATTCGAACCCACAATCATAGGTTTCTGGCGTGCCCAAGGGACGCAACTCTGCACAGCGAATCGCAGCGCTTTAGACGACTGGGCCACCCGTGCCCCCCTTGGCAGTCTGAAGATAATGGTACATGGTCATTAGTTGTAATATTCTCTTATTTCACAATTTCCAATTCTTAATATGTGGCATTTAAAGAGATAAAATATTTGAAAAACTCTGTTCATTTTTCCCATGTTCATACCTTTAACAATTAATATGGATAAGGGCTGTTGTTAATGGTAAGGGGTGTACAAAAGAATATAATTTACCCTCTTCCTGTTACAGGGGGCACGGGTGGCCCAGTCGTCTAAGGCGCCGCGATTCCTGTGCAGAGTTGCGTCCTTTGGGCACGCCAGAATCCTATGATTGGGGGTTCGAATCCCGGTTCGCCCCGATTATATTTCTAGGTTTGTCAGCACCATACCCGTGCTCGTTGGTTTCACCGAAATGGTAAACATCTAAGACCTGCATCACTTCGGGCTTTCCTCCCACATTAAGCTGACACGCCGTGATATAACTCGAATACTGTTAAAAGCGGCGTTAAACACAACTCACTCACTCACTCTTCCTGTTACATGAAAAACACGTACTTATAACCATAGGTCGAAGTGACTTGGACATTCTGGGTGTGTGTTGTGGACGGTTCCTTGACAGCATACACGGTGGCTTGGTTGTGATGTTGTGATCCTGTGTCTGCCACAAAGATGCATGCCCCGGAACCACGTGGACAGGGCCCGACAGCAATGTCCTCCCAGTCAAACTCATGACTGTGTTGAACAGTTAGCACACCTAGATAACGGCGACACACCGAGATTACAAAGGTGAGTGAGTGAGTTGGGTTTAACATTATTCCAGTTATATCGCGGCGTGTCATATAATGTGGAAAGAAAGCCCGAGTGATGCAGGTCTCAGACGTTTACCACTTCGGCGAAACCCACGAGCACGGGTATGGTGCTGATAAACCTAGTAAGCAATCCTAGATGACGGCGTCCGCCCGGAGAGCGGAAGGTCAGGGGTTCGAACCCCAGCCGCGTCATACCAAAAGTCTTTAAAACATGGTACTTGTTGTTACCCTGTCTGGCGCTCGGCATTAAGGAGCTAAAACAAGGACTGGTCGGCTCGGAGTCAGTATACTGTGTCTGAGTGGGGTATTCATGTTAAACTGCGGTATGGTTTCTCAGTGAGCTAGCACTATAAATCGGCATCAGTCCGGACTAGTAGAAGCAGCAACACACACACACACACACACACACACACACACACACACACACACACACACACACACACACACACACACACACACACACACACACACACACGTGCATGCACGTCAGTACATAAGTGCAATAATCTTGGACGCGACGTTAAACCCCATTTCACCTCACCACCTCACCACCTCACCACCTCACCTAGATGAGAAAAAGCACGCCGAGAATACAAAGGTAAAACTTCTCAAACAGTCAACAAGTAAGTAGGTTGAAGGGACCTTCGTACATACGAAGTTTGACACAACCGAATATGATGAATAAAGAAGGAATACACAAGGACCAAACTTTTACTTCGAGACAACCGCAAATTCGATACATTAAATTCGACACAACGGTGTATGACTGTATATTAAACCTGAATACATCGTACTCAATATTGTCTCTCATTCAATGTCGTTGATATTGTCACTGTGGGTATGCTGTTTTGACTCTGTGCCTAGATTACAAAGCGAACTGACATTTGTACATGTCATTTACTTATTCGTAGCCATACCAGTCGTCAACATCATTAGTTGTATTTTAGATAGCTTGACCAATTTTTATATATGCATCCAAAATTATGGATTATGGGGTCATGAAGAATTTTGGAATATCAGTCTAAATCAGCTTTCATACCTACACGCTAAATTGACAAGGAAGTGAGGTGGAATAGGCTTTAACGTCGCCTTCAAGAATATTGCTCTTATATAGCGACGTGCATGCATGACGTGTGTGTATGTTTGCGTGCGTGCGTCTGTGTCTGTTTGTATGTGTGTGTGTGTGTCTGTGCGTGTGTCTGTGTGTTTCTGTGTGTGTGCGTGTCTGTGTGTGTGGCTGCTTTTACAAGTCAAGATTGTATAGTGCCTTACGCCGTGCGCCAGGCAGGGAAACAACAAGTACCATCTTTTAACGTCTTTAGGTATGACGTGGCCGGGGATCGAACCCCCCACTTTCCGGTCTCCGGGCGGACGCTCTATCCACTAGAGGTCAGATTGACAACGTAAAACATGTCAAATGAATTTACATGTTTGTCCAAAACAACGATCTTTGAATACGTCAGGAAAGCGAAAATACGTTACTGATGACACACAAACAAGTACGTGTACGTACCGACTACTTTAGCTGTATCAGCGTGGACAATGTATATTTTATCTGACCCAGCATTGTCGTTGATTGCGTAGAGGTAACCAGGATGTGTCTTGCTTGCAGCCAAACCCGAGACCATATGGAGGCCACTAGCAGAGGAAATCTGGCCTTCTGTCACACGGTTGGAGAAGTCTGAAGCTGAAATGACAAGTGCCCTGTGATGTTTTTTTAAATGATAATGCTCACTCACTCACTCACTCACTCACTCACTCACTCTCTGTAATGAATATGAATTGATTTTGCAGTATTAATATATAATGAAAAGTCAGTAAGTGAGCTGTGTTTTACGCTGCTTTTAACAGTATTCCAGTTCTATCGCGGCGTGTCAGCTTCATGTGGGAGGAAAGCCCGAAGTGATGCAAGTCTCAGACGTTTACCACTTCGGTGAAACCCACGAGCACGGGTATGGTGCTTACAAACCTAGAAACATAATCGGGGCGAACCGGGATTCGAACCCACAATCATGGGTTTCTGGCGTACCCAAGGGACGCAACTCTGTATAATGAAAAGACAAAATGTGATGTTTCACCCATAAGATCCCTTATCTCATGGTTGGTCACATTTGGAGAAAACAGTTATGAGATATAAAATAAATCATGAAAGGTACCTGTTGAATAAACTGATATGAACCAGGAGTCGCCACATACTTGACCCTGGTCGCCTGAACATTGGCGCTTACAGTCATCCTCAGACGCCTGTGTGTCATCTGCCACTGACAACCCACACCAACACTCGTTGCCATTCTAGAGAAATGACCAAACCTTCATCATCTGTAGACAATTCAAATCTCAACTCATGTTCGTCAGTTATTTTATTGGACATTCTATTCTTTGTATGTCATCGTATTATTTGCACTTGTAAATTTTAGGATTAATTTGAATCAATATTGTAATATATTTTATTTGCGGCATATGTTTTAATTAAAATACAGTAAACTACGGTTATAACGAACACGCTTATAACGAACTAACGGATATAACGAACTAACTTTTTAGTCCCGACTATATGTTGTAGTTATGCTGTATATATGCTTATAACGAATTACGGTTATAACGAACTAAAATTAGTAGTCCCTTTGAGTTCGTTATAACCGTAGTTAACTGTAGCTTAACCTTATTGTGGGTAGTGTCGGTCTTTTTGTCAGAGGGATGGTGGGTTAGCCAAGTGTATAAAGTGTTCGCTCGTCACGCCGAAGACCCGGTTCGATTCCTCACATGGGTACAAAGTGTGAAGCCATTTCTGGTGTTCCCCGCCGTGATATTTCTGGAATATTGCTAAAAGCGGAGTTAAATCACACTCACTGCTTGTGAGAACATTATATGGGCTTAACCAGTGGATAACATCCATCTGACATTGATTGAATGAAGGGCAATGTTAATGTTTCTTCATGTCTTGATTCTACATTTTCAATAGATGTCCATGCTTATCCTAATATTTAAGAGTTAGTGAGTGAGTATGGGTTCACGCCGCTTTCAGCAATATCCCAGCAATATCACGGCGGGGGACACCAGAAATGGGCTTCACACTTTGTACCCATGTCGGGAATCGAACCCGGGTCTTCGGCGTGACGAGCAAACGCTTTAACCACTAGGCTACCCGACCCTAATAGTTAAGAAATAAACGACAAGTGGGAGTTCTTTATCGAACAATAAAACACTGCAGGGAGAATAAACCAGGAGGGGCACAGGTCATTGTGACAAACATTTTTTTTTCTTCCAAAAGTTTTGTACTCGCCCTTTGTCAAATGGTGACAAATGAATCTTTCTAAAAATTGTCAAACAAACAATTCTATTTCTATTACTTTAAAAATCATAATATGTACCTTCCATCATAACGCGGTATATTATCCACTCACCTCAACGCCAGCATATGGATACGCAAGACACTGGTTAACACACGACTCGACATTCATGTTGGTAGAGGTCGGTTTCTCATGGGGCAGGACACGCCTGTCTGAGTGATCCGTGTAGCAGCCCACATAGGCTGTCGGGGAAACGGGTTTGCTTTAGCGTTATATCAAGGTGAGGTGAAATGGGGTTTAACGTCGCGTCAAAGATTATTGCACTTATATAGTGACGTGCATGCACGCGTGTGTGTGTATGGCTGCTTGTACTAGTCCGGACTGATGCCGATTTATAGTGCTAACCCACTGAGATACCATGCCGCAGGTTAAGATGAATACCCCACTCAGACGCAATATACTGACTCCGAGCCGACCAGTCCTTGTTTTAGCCCCTTAATGCCGAGCGCCAGACAGGGTAACAACAAGTACCATCTTTTAACGTCTTTTGGTATGACGCGGCTGGGGATCGAACCCCGGACCTTCCGCTCTTAGGGCGGACGCTCTACCATTAGACCACGGAGGCGATCAGCGTTATATCAAGACGTGGTTAAAGAGAGTTAGTCAGTATACTACTCAACGTTTGATAGGGATAGTCTGAGTGTCCAGGCTAGGACTCGATGTGACTTTGGCTGGGAGAGGTTCTCGTACAAAAGGCTTTCCATATTGCCTTGGAGCTGACGCACTTTCAGCACCGTCACAAACCGTATTCGACGTTGCGAAGTAAATATCTAGCAGCGACGATTAATACATAAATTAATACATAAACTTATTTTTCACACTATACCCACTCTATATCTCTGAGACCCAACTTGGAGGAGCTCTTACATACATAGCAGTGCTAGTGGAAAAGCTGCATCTCCGGGAAGATGCATCTCCGAGTAGGTCTTCAGCAACCCATGCTTGTGGTAAGAGGCGACTAAAGGCATCGGGTGGTCAGGCTCGGTGACTTGGTTGATGCATATCATCGATCCCAAATGCGTAGATTGATGCTCCTGATATTAATCACTTTTTGTCCTAAACTTTTATTTGAATTTATTTCTATTACTTGTGATGAGACCTGTGAAGACCCGGGGTAGAATAGGTCTTCAGCAACCCATGATTGCTGTAAAAGGCGACTAACGGGATCGGGTGGTCAGGCTCGCTGACTTGGTTGATGGATGTCATCGCATCCCAATTGCGTAGATCGATGCTCATGATGTCAATCACTGGATTGTCTGGTCCAGGCTCGATTATTTACAGATCGCCGTCATATAGCTGGACTATTGCTGAGTGTGGCGATAAACAACAAACAAACAGAGTTACATCCCTTGCTGGGCCAGGATCCTATGACCGCAGGTTCTAATCCCAGATTTGCCCTGATTCTAGGTTTGTCAGCACCATACCATTCCAGAGTTGCGTTTAATCAAACAACGTGTTGTCCCCTCACCGTGCTCATGCTGGCACATTACCCAAGGCGCTAGTAGATCAACACTCACATTACCATCTCCTCCTTCTCGGTACCCATCCACTGCTGGATGTACAGAGGCATATTTCGAGCAACATCACTTCTACAGCGACGTGCATGCACGCGTGTGGTTTATTGTACTTATCCGGACTAGCCAACTGAGACACCATGCTGCATTGTACAAGGATACCTTATTCAGACACATTACACTGCTTCCTAGTCGGCCTGGCCTTTTTTCTATTCCTTTCATCCCGAGTGCCAAGCAGGGCAACAACAAGTTCCATCGCTTCGCATCGTTTGGTGTGCCATAGACAGGGGATCGAACGACCAACCCTACGGTCTCCGTTAGACGCTCTTTCCATGGGTTCACAATCAAGGGGGAACTTAATGGTGATTTGTTAGCACTATCCTCATAGCTCCGATGGACCGCCTCCGTGGTCTAGTGGTAGAGCGACCGCCCGGAGAGCGGAAGGTCAGGGGTTCGATCCCCGGCCGCGTCATACCAAAAGACGTTAAAAGATGGTACTTGATGTTACCCTGTCTGGCGCTCGGCATTAAAGGGCTAAAACAAGGACTGGTCGGCTCGGAGTCAGTATACTGTGTCTGAGGGGTATTCATGTTAAATTGCAGCATGGTATCTCAGTGTGCTGGCACTATAAATCGGCATCAGTCCGGACTAGTACAAGCAGCCACACAAACACACACACGTACATGCACGTCGCTGTATAAGTGCAATAATCTTGGACGCGATGTTAAAACCAATTTCACCTCACCTCACCTCATAGCTCCGATCACAGTTTGCCACACCATGATAAGGCTGAAGTATTTTTAGAAACAATGTTAAGTATCACCTGTCTGAATGTACAGGAATGTCTATGGATTGTGTGATCGTTTGTTCTTTAACGCCGCACACAGCAATATACCACCTATATGACGGCGGTCTCTAAGGAATCGAGTCTGGACCAGACAATCCAGTGATTGACACGAAGAGCATCCATCCACGCAACTGGGATACGATGACATGTATCAACAAAGTCAGCGAGCCTGACCCCCCGATCCCGTTAGTAACGTCTCACGACAAGCATGGGTTACTGAAGACCAATTCTAGGACATCTTCCCGAGGCAAGCGAGTTAACTGACTATAAAAGTCCAGTTTACACCCTTGCCGAACTGGTATTATGGAGTTACATTTTGGCTGGACTAACGAGTCTATGCATAGTCCAATCAAATTCGCGCACCGAAATCGAAATCCGGTTCGTAAGCTGCCATGAAGATTTCGGTCGATTGCAGGATTTAGAGAGCTTATGCACCGCCAACTCGTTTTCAACAGATATTTTCTACATCTTTTCATGTTTTTAATCAAGGTGCTCACTTGATTTGATGCATTTCGCGATGTAAAACCCGTTTTATCACAATATAGATCTTGATTATCGATCAGATCGTCTTGACTGGGCGCCACCATTTTGTGTGAAGCAAACGCAAGTCATACGAGAGGTGGAATCTGATTGGTCCAAAGGAGAGGCGTAGAAGGGACATAACTGGTAATGGCCACTGGTGGCGCTACGATCGAGCCTAGTAATTCCAGCCTAGTTCGGCAAGGGGGGAAACTGGACTTTTATAGTCAGTTAACTCTCTTGTCTTGGGAAGATGATGCTAGCACAGATGGAATGTCAGTAGAATCAAAAGATGTTTTGGTATAGGTTCCATAAGTAATTATAAAATTATACTACAGGTAATCACTAGTTAAGACCACTGACACATCCTTCATCAACACATAAACAGGTAATCACAAACACATCCCACTGCGTTTTACTATTGACTACAGAGTAGATAGGAGAGACACGTTTTCCGTCATTTAAATGCATAATTTCAATTATAAAATATGAGAACATAAACGTGAAATCAAATGAGTATACACTCAAACAACGTTGTGTCTAGCTTAAATGTGTCGAACTTACGGTTGTCTCGAAGTAAAAACTTCCCTGCGTATTGCTTCTTTATTCATCATTTTCGGTTGTGTCGAACTTTGGATAACTCGTATTTACGAAGATCCCTTTAACTTCGACACAACCGTGTTTGACTGTAATTACTACTCATAAACCGAAAAATAGTAAATATCTGTAGCGACATTTAACTTGCAATGATATAAATTTAGAATAATTCATTCATTTGTATCTGACATCACTCAGAAATGACTACCTGGAGACCAGAAAATCCAGTGATTGATATTATGAGCATCGATCCACGCAATTAGGATCGATGACATGCATCAACCAAGTCAGCGAGCCTGACCACCCGATCCCTTTAGTCGCCTTTTTCGACAAGCATAGTCGCCTTTTAGGGCAAGTATGGGTTGCTGAAGACCTATTCTACCCCGGAATCTTCACGGGTCCTACCTGGAGAGGAATACCGCAGAAACAGCGTGATCAGTGCCAATGAATATAACGACATCATGGAATGTTTGTCCATTGTCCAACTTTGAGACAGTTTACGCACACATCTTGCATGTAGGTTATGGTGACCTTGACCTTTACACTGCAGGGTCACGAGAGATAAGATTGAAATAGTACCTTGGCAAATGAGGATTGGCTCTGACGTCTTTATCCACACTCCGGCGCAGTGGTGACTCAGCATTATACCACTGCCACAGGCTAATTTGCATATCACGTGACCGGACTTTTCTCTTTCTGTAAACAAACGCGCTTTTTCAGAAATCAGTATAGAACGGACTAATGCAAGTATTTGAGGGCGCTTTATATATTGTTTTGCATAATTAAATAGATATTCTACTTCAACTGCGAAAGTGAGTTGCATGACAATATATATTTATACATCAAAGTGACCGTATCACTAGCTCTCCGTCGGGCTTCGGTGACAGCACGTGGAGCCGTACAAACAATGTAAACAAAGGATAACTACGCAAAAACAAGTAGATGTTCACGTATTAGGATACTTTCTTAATGAACCGTAACCATTCTTTGACATTTGTTTATGAAAATGTGTAGACTTGTCAAACATGAAACGGATGAAAAGCATATTCAATGTCTTGAATGGACTGTGAAAGATGTGACGAATCGTCACATGGCGCTGGCCTGTGGCAGAGGTACTATGCCGCATGGAGTGAGTGAGTGAGTGGATTGGGTCTAACGCCGCTTTTAACAATATTCCAGTTATATCGCGGCGTGTCCGCTTAATGTGGGAGGAAAGCCCGAAGTGATGCTGGTCTCAGACGTTTACCACTTCGGTGAAACCCACGAGCACGGGTATGGTGCTGACAAACCTAGAAACATAATCGGGGCGAACCGGGATTCGAACCCACAATCATAGATTTCTGGCGTGCCCAAGGGACGCAACTCTGCACAGTGAATCGTGGCGCCTTAGACGACTGGGCCACCAGTGCCCCCTATGCCGCATGGAACTCTGGGTAGGAGAGTGGTCTTTATCTTGAAGCATGCATGCCGTACAATTACGTCTTTATCTTGAAGCAAACATGCCGTACAATTACACTCAATACCCTACCAAGAGCCTCAGATACCCTGTACAATCCAGGGGTGGCCGGGTAGCCTAGTGGTTAAAGCGTTCGCCCGTCTCGCCGAAGATCCGGGTTCGATTCCCGACATGGGTACAATGTGTGAAGACCATTTCTGGTGTCCCCCGCCGTGATATTGCTGAAATTTTGCTAAAAACGGTGTAAAACCTCACTCACTCACTCACTCACTCACTCACTGTACAATCCAAAACGTCAACGCCAGAGAATAATCAATGGCACGCACGCACGCACGCACGCACGCGCGCGCATACGAATATCTTGATTGGAAAAGTACCGCCAAATTAATACAGAAAAATGCCTCTCCTATTTCCAAGAGCTGCTTCGGGATCAGTGTGGTTCAAGGAAATTGGTTTGTCCAGGTTCCAGTTATCCAGGTTTGTCCAGGTACCAGTTATCCAGGTTTGTCCAGGTACCAGTTATCCAGGTTTGTCCAGGTTCCAGTTATCCAGGTTTGTCCAGGTTCCAGTTATCCAGGTTTGTCCAGGTACCAGTTATCCAGGTTTGTCCAGGTACCAATTATCCAGGTTTGTCCAGGTTCCAGTTATCCAGGTTTGTCCAGGTTCCAGTTATCCAGGTTTGTCCAGGTTCCAGTTATCCAGGTTTGTCCAGGTACCAGTTATCCAGGTTTGTCCAGGTACCAATTATCCAGGTTTGTCCAGGTACCAATTATCCAGGTTTGTCCAGGTTCCAGTTATCCAGGTTTGTCCAGGTACCAGTTATCCAGGTTTGTCCAGGTACCAGTTATCCTCACGCGATCTCGTAAAATGTCGAATAGTTCCAAGATCATTTACAACATCAATGACACGGGAGTAAGCATTGTGCACACCCAATACAACCAAGGGTATTTTGTTCATTCCAAGGATTCCCAATCACAAGCAGTGACATCCAACGCCCTTCTGATGTCACGATGTTATTGGGTGAGGTGAAATGGGGTTGAACGGCGCGGTGGGTATTTGTAGTTATATTGCGACATATAATACACGCATCAGCACTACAGAACTACAGCATAATGTCCAGATAAATCAAGTACAGTAAACTACGTTTATAACGAACAAGCTTGTAACGAACAGACGGATAGAAGGGACTGTTGTTTTTTTGTCCCGGCCATTTGCTTAACGAACTGATTAATGGCATATATGTATGTATATGCTGTGTATATGCTTATAACGAACTACGGTTATAACGAACTAAAATTAATGGTCACTTTTAGTTCGTTACAACTGTAGTTTACTATACCTACAGATTCGATGGTCACATTGTGTGTGTGTTAGTGTGTGTTAGTGCTAGTGTTAGTGTGTGTGTTAGTTAATTAGTGTGTGTGTGTGTGTGTGTGTGTGTGTGTGTGTGTGTGTGTGTGTGTGTGTGTGTGTGTGTGTGTGTGTGTGTGTGTGTGTGTGTGTGTGTGTGTGTGTGTGTGTGTGTGTGTGTGTGTTGTTTAACGCCGAACTTAGCAATATTCCAGATACATGACGGCGGTCTGTAAATAATCAAGTCTAAACCAGACAGTCCAGTGATTTACATCAAGAGTATCGATCCACGCATTTGGATCCTGACCACCTGACCACCTGACCACCCGATCCCGTTAGCCGACTTTTACGACAAACATGGGTTGTTAAAGGCCTAGTTTAACCCGGATCTTCACGGGTCAAGTTTTAATGAAAACATTAACCAGGTATTGATAGTGTATATACTTTGATATGCGTCACGATAAATTAACTTTCGATTGTTGCTAAATACTTTAGAATCAACAATGCAACTTTTATTGTTATTTTGCACCTCGTTTGATGTTATTTGGAATTTCCTTGTCGTGTTACACGCATTACATTGACACAAGTTTTGGACACAATTGCCAAGCATGGACACACGTGTTAACGTCCCATGATTGTGTGGTTAATCAATGGTTGTTTGGTTTCTCCTTCTGACAGTTCCAGCTGCCCCCCTTGATAATGTTGGTTTAATGAATCTAGTCAACCCTGGTTGCCAGAAATTTGGTAACCTCGTCTTTTTTCCTTATCGTGAGCTCGAGTGAGTGAGTGAGTTGGGTTTAACGCCGCTTTTAACAGTATCCCAGTTATATCACGGAGTGTCAGCTTAATGTGGGAGGAAAGCCCGAAGTGATGCAGGTCTCAGACGTTTACCACTTCGATGAAACCCACGAGCACGGGTATGGTGCTGACAAACCTAGAAACATAATCGGGGCGAACCGGGATTCGAACCCACAGCCATAGGTTTCTGGCGTGCCCAAGGGATGCAACTCTGCACAGCGAATCACGGCGCCTTAGACGACTGGGCCACCCGTGCCCCTTTTTTCCTTATCGAAAGCACGTGGGGAATGAATTGAAACGAATATTGCTGATAAATGTTCAAGAACATGCCTGTGTTAACGTTGATTGAACATTTTGGGAAATTATTTTATCAAATTGTTTGCCATTTTAATAACACAATGACAATTCTTTGCATCGGATCAACGTTGTCTTGTTTTCATTTATTAATAAAAGTGTAACATAGTCTTCGCCAGGTCAAGTGCTGTCTACGCCATGTCGCGATACTATTACCGCCTGTCTGGTGTCCCGGCTGGAATCCTGGGCGATAGCTCATGGGAGATAACTCTTTCAAGACTAGACACTCAATTCGTCGGAACTCGCATCCTTCCGTCACCTACAATATGTTTCATTCGTGACCTACTCGTGTTATTCCGGGACAGATTACGGAAAGGGGCGAGTGGTGACGAATGAATATGTTTGTCCCGGAATGACACGAGTTAATTACGAATGCCAGACAACCGTCGGATTTACTCGGGGCTCTCTAAGAAGTGACGGATCTTCTCGGTCGACCGAGTTTTGCGTGTGGGTTCAGTGGTAAAAAAACCCAAACGAACAGTTTTTGTGACGTATTGAAAGGGGAAAAAAGACTTTACGTAACGTGAGTGATATTTATCTGACATTACTAAAACCAGGCGAGGAAATAATGGGCGTCAATAACAGATGCGTATACAGGAAATATGTACCGAAAGAGAAACGAACGTGCTATTTGTAGCAAAGAGGGCGGTTCTAGAGAGGGGGAGTTAGGGGTCTCTTTCACACACACACACACACACACACACACACACACACACACACACACACACACACACACACACACACACAAAATCAACCCCTACCCTTTTGAAAACCAAATTTATTAAAATTTATCTGAGAAATATTTTGATATTTTTTATCCGCCCTTGTGTAGTAATAGGTAATAATGTTGTCTGTGAGTTTGTTAGTTTGTTAATCCGGGCCTGTGGTTAGGCCTTTATTTTAATTTTATTTACAGCGGTGTCGGGTATTAACGAACAAGCGGCTATTACCGAACACAATTTATTTTTTTCTCAAATCGCTGATCGCGACAGCTATTTATGCGCATGCCTTGAAAGAGAAACTTCCTCTTCCGGCAGAACAGCAGTCAGCTTCGAAAATGTAAATTAAAAAAGAAGAAGATAAAGACCCAACTAGTCTTGTCAAACCTGGGATACCACTTTATAAAAATAACATCATAGACTTTGTCGGCCTTACATAGGCAGCCCGATCAAACGTTTACCTTTCAATAGTTCGCCCTTTTCCCGAACAAGTCTCATTTAAATGAAACACAGCAGAAATAAGGCGGGATATTGTGCTTACTTTTCGGTAATATTTGCGGTCGGGTAGTCTAGTAGTTAAAGCGTTCGCTCGTCACGCCGAAGACCCGGGTTCGATTCCCGACATGGGTACAATGTGTGAAGCCCATTTCTGGTGTCCCCCGCCGTTATATTGCTGGAATATTGCTAAAAGCGGCGTAAAACCATACTCACTCACTGTACCCGATACCGCACTATGCCTTTTGCAGTAATGTTCTGACCCGTGGAGATCCGGGATAGAATAGGTCTTCAGCAACCCATGCTTGCTGTAACAGGCGACTATGCTAGTGGTAAGAGGCAACTAATGGGGTCGGGTGG